ATAGGTAACATTACTTCCATCAAGTAGAGAGTAACATATACTAAAATGCAGTTGTATAATGTGATTCGTTGAGGCGGATAAGAATAGAGCCGAGGGAAAGGTGAAAAAGAGGAAATGTGGAGTAGAAATGAGTTAATATTTACTGAAGACCTACTGTGTGCCGGGCATTTCGTATAAAGAGCATCTCACTGAAGAGGTGGGTGGCACTATACCTATTACACACGAGGAAACTGGTCATCAGGCTCAGGTTAATAAGGCAGGGAAGCCAGGGTTCAGACTTAGAACTATCACAGTAAAAACCACATACCACAAAGAAGAGGCAGAGAAGTGGAAAAGGGCATGCAGTAGAGGAGAATGGAAGGGGACAGACGGCCACGGGGCAATGAAACCAATAGGAAGATCACAGAAAAGAATGTGGAGGAGGCAAGGCAAGTTTTAGATGTGCTAGCAGAGACACAGAAATAAGTGGTCAGTTGGGATTATCTGCTGGGAATATAGACTTCAGGACAAGATATAAGTTATTTTTACTTCTCTTTTGGGGACAGACTATCAGGGTAATTACTTCCTACACCTCACACAGCACCATACTTCCCCACCTCGAATTTTTGAGCAGGGTTTGGCATGGCTGGCATTCTAAGCCAGACAGGACCTTTGCGGTGGTATTGCTTCCTTTCCCGCACTCTGATCAAAGCTGCTGACCTAGATACCTTAAAGAAGCAAGGATTTATTTTGGCTCATGGATTCAGAGTTAGGGTAGAGGGTATGGCAGAGAACAGTTCCCACCAGACAGCCAGAGCAGAAAAAGAAGTATATATACAGGAAGAGGTGTTACCTACCTCCCAGTGTTACCATAATATGAATCCATTGTAGGATCACTGGGTAAGAGCTTTGCCATCTGTCTCTAGCCTGGGACCTTGCAGACTGCCCAGAGGTGTGTTTTACTAATCCAGGCATTCCTCCTCCTCTATACAGTCTCAGTCACCACACAGTCTAAGATGACTTGAAACACTGTGCATCCGGGTTAGGATTACAAGTGTATACGCCTACTTTACTCTGTCTTAATCCAGTGATGTTGTCAGTCAGAACTAGTCATCCCAAGGGGTCTGTTTTCTGCGTCACAGGCTGTTTAGCAGTATTCCTGGCCACTTCTACTGGATACCTTATAGCACCGACGACACTATGTATCAACAACCAGAACTGTCAACACGTTGTCACATGGATCCCAAGGCTATATACACTGTCTTCAGTTGACAACTATCGATCATCTAAACTCAGCATCAGCACAATTTTGTTTGCAAACTGCTTCTAAGAGGTGTGAAACAATGTGGGTATAGACAAAGTCTTGAGCTACATAAATAATCTAAGGGAAAGCAATAGAGCTATCAGAGACTGTTCTCCATGACGGTGACGGTGTCTAAGATAAGAGAACTGGCTTTGGAGTCTAGAGACCCGGGGTTCTCCTCTGCTCTGGCACAGACTAATAGGATCAGGAGCAAACCCCTTGCCTTGTCAGCCCGCCTTGCCTCTGGACTCTTGCTTTATCGCAAGTTCAAATAGACACTTGAGGGACAAAGTGTTAAATTCCTCCCTTACATACATCTGTGCCTCATACCATGGCTGAAGGGCAAGTACTGCGCATACTGCGGGTTGGTGTGCTTATATTTCCCCCATTTCCTTGCCAAAGTGTGGTCTGTGGTCACGGCACCGACACCACCCGAGAAATCTGTTAGGAGAGGCCAAATGTGAGACCTTACTTCAGATTAGCTGCATCAAAATCCTAGCAAACAATGATACCTACTGCTCACAAATGAGGGTGCCACTCGAGGGCAGCTTCAGCCTAGGCTCCCTGTTAACCACAGGAGTGGAAAATCTTAAAAACCACTCTTGTCGGCTTGCTTTTCAGTTCTGGCTTACTTGACAATTAGGTCTCACTTGTGTGCTAGCTAACATACTAAGGACCGCTCTAGGAGTACTTTACATACATTATTATTGTGTGGTCCTCTCAACCCTCCTACGAGGCAAAAACCAGAAATGAAGCATCATTATTTTAAAGGAAGCAGGTGGATCTCTATAAATTCCAGGCCAGCCAGAGCTGCACAGGGAAGCCCTGTCTCAAAAAACAAAAAAACAAACCAAACAAGACAGCAAAAAAGTGCATTCTTTGGGCTGCTTCAAGTCACTTCTAGGAGTCTGACTCTCTGACCTACTTTTTCCACTTTCTAGGAATCTACTCCAGCACAGAAGTGTTATGATTAGTAGTGGATTTTTTTATACAGCATTATTTAAGAAAGTTTGAAGCCGCAAGTGAACACTGTTAGGAGAACAGACTACTAGGGAGCTCTGAAAAAAATCATTCCTTCCCGGGACGTTTCCGACATGGGAAATAATGTCAACTTCCAAATCTATGCAATCGGATAGAAAACTTGGTTAAAGTACATGATGCCTACTTGGATCCATAAGGGAAAACACAGCACTACGGTAACACCAAGTGCTTGACTTCAGGGTATTGGACCAGTTCCTTACCAGCATTTGTTTTCTTCATACACACTTTTTAAATTTCTGAAGTACACATTACTTGTACAATAAATAAAATGTCTTCCTGTAAATACAGCCATCTCAGGATATTGTGAATAGCAATCTACGCTGTAATAAAGTAAATGCCACTGACATTACGGACACAGAATAAAACCCAGAGAGCTTTAGCCTTCCAGCTATCAAGTGGGGCACTTATCTTCCATAAAACCACCACGTGGTCACTGTCATCAGTATACTTGGATCATGTCTCATGAACGCAATTATCAACATACGTGGTAGAGCCATGCCCAGTCCCTTCAGTTGCCCGGAGAGCAGCACACATTGCTCCTCCCTCTTGCCTATCTCTCTGTGAGGCTTGGCTTGAACTTCTAACCAGGCACAGTTACTGTTTCTCAAGGCTTTCTTCTTAAGGTTGCCTGATTTTAACCTTATTTCCCTTGTCAATCATCCTGCCTGCAAAGACTCGGGCCAGAGCTTTTCTTCAGAGTATGAGCTAAGGACAGACTGTAAAGGATGGGAGAGAAGCCTTCGGAGACTAGAGGCTGGGAAGGAACCCAGGGGGAGGGGCCTGTTTCTTATCAGAAAAGGAAACAGAAAACAGAATGAGATAAAACACACAGGACTAGGAAGGGGCAAAAAGCTGAGAAACACACTCGAGGTAATTCTGGAGCAAACCACAGTGACCCCACCCAGGAGGGCTGTGGCCTTCAGTCCCCTCTTGACTTCTAGGAGGCTGAGACTCTGAACTTCAGAGGAAGTGAACATTCTAAGCTGAAAGACAGCAGGAAAATGGCCCCTGCCTCATTTCAAACTAATTAGCTTGAAATCAGGATACTTGGATCATGTCTCACCATTTTGGTTTCTATTATTGGTTTTATGGAAATTTTCAGTGTAAACTTTAAATAATGTAAGAAGCAATTTTCCACAATTATCCCATTTGTAATCTGGAGTCCTGGCACCCTTAAAACCAACAACAAAAAAAAAATGAACAAGGAACTATCTCCCTAATAAAAAATCAAAATGTCTCGTTGGAATATGTTTTATAGTTGTCAACTGTATTCTCCTTCAGATATTGTATGTCTAAAGATAGTTCTATGTGACATTACATAGATTTCTAAATTTCATTTGCCGGTTGCAAAAAAAAAAAATAAAACACATAGAAAACAGGCTTTGTGATACTGTTACCAAACTATGATGGCTCACAAAAGTTTGCTTTCTGCATCAGTGGGCTGTACCAATTCTGACTTCCTGATAAGAGGTCCCCAGGTACAGATATGGCAAGATTTCAGGTGTGTTTTCTCCATGATTGTGAGTGAGTGTGCAGGTAAATAATGTAGCCAAAATAAAACGACACAAGTAACATGTCTAAAGAGAGCAGAAAAAGGAAATTTCACAACACACGGAAGCAAGCAGGTATGAGATAGGGTATCTCTTCCCTAGTATATTTAATCTTTTGTTTCACCATTTTCTTAGTTCTACTGACAGTTCCAGTAAGACTAGAGTTCCTGATGCTGTCCATGTCATCGTCTTGGTAAAGTCCAGAGAAGTAGCTCCCAGATGTCATGACAACCATCCCTACATCTCCTTTGGGAAAAGGAGTTTTAGTGGCCCTTTTTTTCCAGTTGAGCAACTACAGTAAGAAGAAATCAAGACCCCATCTACTGAGTCAGGCGTAGGACAGCTGGATAGGAATGCCACCAGAAAGGCAGCCAGCAAGATCTCCTAGCTACCAATTATTTGCTTCTTTCACTAGCTCCTATACTGTCACACAAGGTGACCAAGCTCAAGGCCACACTGCATTATATCTGTTTCTCAATATGTTGAAATGTTTTTATTTTACTAATGTATTTAGTTGATGATTTATTTAATGATACTAGAGTTTTTGAAATGTGAGAATAAAAGACAAAAATGGAGGGTGATGGCAATAGACACGGATTAACTGATTATTCCAGTAGTATGGTCTGACTTATGTGATTTTTAAAGGGCTGCTTATTGGGAAGATTTTTGAGGAGCTAATTACTGTAACTGCCTATAAAAAAAAATCGTCCTACATAGAGTTCAATTTTTACGTTCAAAATGAGATCAAATTCAGAGAACTTAAAAGTACCCAGTTTCTCTCTCTATTATGTCTGGCTTCTTAGTAAAGCTTCCTTCGCGTTGGTGATTTTCTTTTTTCACTTCTAAAATGAAGTTGAGCTCTGCTAGGTGGTGCTGCGAAACTTGCTACGGGAGAGTCCCAGTGTCACCCCGGCAGGCACCGACACATGCTTCCCCACCCGCTGTGCCGGCCGGCCGCCCACACCGTCCAGGGCGCGTGCAGGGCTCTGAATCCTAGCGGAGGGCCCACGGAGCGCAAGTTGCCCGGGGTTTTCAGGTGCGGCACCGGAGGGCATGTCCACGGAGCCCGGCCCCGCCCGTCAACTGCTCGCCGCGTGCCCAGCCGCCTGCCCGCCGCCCGCGCTCACCTGCTCGCCCTCGTCCTGCCGCCGCCTGCGCCGCGGGCTCGCCCGGGGCTCCCGCTCCTCCGCCGGCTCTGCCGGCGCCGCCCCGTCCTCGTCGCGCTCCCCGCTGCCGGCGCCGCCCCGCAGCAGCTCCCCGGCCGAACACATCCCGCCGCTGACACCGCCCGCCAGCACGGCCGCCGCTGGCCACACCGGGATCCCGCTCGACAGCCCGGCGCGGACGCGAACCCCAGAAGCGCACCCACCGGCCTGGGCGCCAGAAGTGCTGGAGCCGCCCGCCCCTCCTGTCAGCCACTCGCCCCGCCCCAAGCTCAGGGGGAGGAGCCCTACAAGGGCGGGGCTATGGAGGTAGGGGGCGGGGCCTAGGCGAACCGCTGCCCAATAGAGGCTGGAGCTGGTGGGGTGGGCAGGACTCTGGGAGGGGCGGAGCCAGGGGGCGGAACCAAGGGATAATGTTATCACTGCAGGACAGAGACTGTGAAAGAAGCCATAGGTGCTTAGGGGGAGATTGGGTGTGTCTGACAGGCTACTAATGTATATGAGAGCATCTGTGTAATTGTGTGTCTGTAACTATCGGTACACACAACGGACAGATATTGTGTGGTGTGTGTGTGTGTGTGTGTGTGTGTGTGAGAGAGAGAGAGAGAGAGAGAGAGAGAGAGAGAGAGAGAGAGAGAGAGAGAGAGATTGTGGTAAAGTGTGTGTAAGAAGCATTGTAACAGACTGTAACAAACTGCATGAAGATGATATAAAAGAAGCCATTAGATGCATGAGATTGTATCTGTATTATGCAAGCCTGTGTATCATTGTGAGCCTGTGAGAGACTCTTATCTCCACACAACAGACTGCGGAAGACTGCATACCCAAGTCTACTGTAACAAGATAGTGATTGTGTGGGAGACCCTAGGTGTTGACAGTCGGTGTGAGAATATAGGTAGAAGAGAAAGGACAGCAAAGAGTGAGGAACTCCATGTGAGAGGGGAGCTGTGTGTGCAAAGATGTGAGGCTTTGTGAGTGTGAAAGACAGAGCAAGAAACATGCACACGTACCTGCATACACTCGGCGGCAGCCGCTGGGGTGTGCCTGGGTGTGTTGATGGCTGCTTGTCCTTTGAAAGGAATGCAGGATCTCTGTCACTTGCTTCTCTCATTTTGCTTCCTCTCCCTAAGTGCGTCTTCTAGTGGCTGTGCCTATTTCTCTGTGCTTTCTGCTGTGCGTTGTTTGTTGCAGTCCTGGGATCATTTGGGGAACTACCTGCCATTGTGCATTTGAGTACAAAATTCCCAGTGACGAGGGAAGCAATCCAGTTTCTGTTTCTTGCTAGCTCACCCATATAAGTGTAAACTGAGAAAATGAAACAAAAAGATCAAGCTCGTGTGCTTGCCTTTTACCTGTGCGTTGAGAAAAAGATTATGGTGTAGAAGGCATATCAGAATGTCAATGGAAATTATTTCCAGATTGAACGCATAGATCTGGAGTTGAGTAAGTCATTTGGGAGTTCTCTTTTAAAATGTCTTCAGGCCTAGCCAAGGAGTTAAATAAGCAGGAATTTACCAGTGTATTTTAAATATTTGCTTTGTTTGAAGTCATCAGAAGATTCTCTCATCCTTTCGCTCCCACCCAACTCATGTCAGCTCTCTCTCGGGTACACATTATCTCACGTAAACATCGTTTCTTACCCACAATATATGTGTCAGTGTGTAATGGAACCCAGTTTCTCTCTCACACACACTCTCACAAATCCTCTTTAATAATTTCTCCCAAACATACACGCTTCCTGGAGACTAGAAAATATGCTTTTAGACATCACAGATTAGAAAGAAAATGAATGTGTTTTAACGTCTCTCTTACAGGGCTTTAACATCTTAGATGACAGTAAATTAATGGTATATGTACATGATCAGAAGCTAATGTCACCCTGTATGGAAAGAGGAAGGTGCCTAGTGGGAGGATAGGAGAGAGCAATGGGTGTGTGTGTGTATATGATCGAAATATATTATACGCATGTATAAAAATGTCACGATGAATCCCACTATCTTGTATAATTAACAGAAATGGAGAGAAATGTCACCTTCAAGAACTCAAGCATCTGGGATGGGCCCCCCTCCTTTTCTCTAATGGCAACTTTTCAGTTCATTTTTGAAATTTTATTTTGGCTTTTGTTTCTTATCAAGAAGCAATATTTTATTTAACAATTAAATCCTCTTAGAAAAACAACTCTAGAATTATATGTGCCGGCACAGAGAACATTAGCCTTTACTGCCAACCCTGTGAACTTAGGCCAGCGTGGCTCTCCTTGGCCTGCATCCACTGATGTGCTGAGTCCAGCAGCTGTGCACTGGTCAGTTAGGAGCAGAATGAGCAGAAAGTGCCCGTACATGTGAGATGGGTTCGTGGAAACACGCAGAGCTAAGCTTGTTCAGTGGCTGGGTCCTTCAGAACATACCGTCTGGTTTTCTATTCATGCTGGATTCTCCACTTCCTCTCCATTTTTTCAAGACAAGGTCTTGCTTGTGAGACAGGAGCGAGCCTTCAACTCAAGTCTCTCCTGCCTCTACCCTCAGGGGGGGCAAAATGGCAGGTGAATGCTAACACGCCTGACTCGGGTTTCTTGATTCTTTGAGAAGGGTCATCATTTAGTGTTTCAGTGCGCTGTTCTTGAAGGCAGGGAGGCACTGAGCTCAGAAAACTTCTCTCTGACTCTCAGGAAAATTCCATTTTAAGCCCTTCATTCTAGAATGTTTTTCTTGGCCAAAATAAAGATAAATAAATAAATAAAGCAACAAGGCATGGGCAGAGTTCTACGTCAGTAGTCTTTTAGTATAGTATGGACTTGTTTTTTTTTTTTTGAAATGATATGCTTTTGTTCCCAAGAACCTGTTTTCTTAGAGACCCAGAGAATTACATCTTTCTACAAATGTAATAATAGTATCTACACAAGGCACTATTTAGATTACACGCTAGACCATACACTTTCATGGGAAGAGTGGGCTATTTTTACTCTCTGAGCCATATGAGTAACATCTAAAGAAAGCTATCAAGCACTTGCCCACGGGAAATATAAGGTTGTTATTACCTAGACAACGGCAACATGTCAGGTTGCAATTTTATTAGCATATTTACCTGTCCCTCTCCCCCCCCCCCCGGAATTACGTGTGCTTGTGTAAGGCTTGTCCTGGGTAGCACTACATGGCCTAAGTCATTCCTCTAAGAATGGTTTTAATATCACACCGCCACCTCTTTTATACTTCATTTTTAATTTTCCTTGATTCGTTTCATTTGGTCTTCTTTCCAGGGGGAACAATGAACAAGCGGTCATGATCCACACCTACCCGACTTTGGGAAGAAATGTGGTAATCCCAGACTCCATTCTTCTGTTGGATTGTTGGCACACTATGGTGTTATTTCTTACAATTTTTCAATATTGTCGATATTTGCTCCTCATCTAATTTGCGTCTGCTTATTTCTTCTTTGTCAGAACTTTCAGAATGAGGGGCCATTTTTAAAATGTTTGAAATTGTAGGTAAATGTTCAGGAACCCCTAGCTTTTCGCCAGTATGTGTGAGTTTAAAGGGAAAGAGACATATTGGTGAATTCTCGCATCGCTCTGGATTCCAGCAGATAAAGGCGAGTGGGTGACAGAGTTAGCTGTTGTCAACCTGGCACGACCTACATGTTCCTGGGAAGAGGGAATTGCGATGAGTTGCTTACATCAGAACGGCCTTTGGGCGTGGCAAATCTATATGGTATTTTCTTAATTTCCAACTGATGAAGGAGGATCCAGGCCACTGTGTGTGGTGCATTCCCAGACGAGTGGGTTTGGAATGTGTAAGACAGGTAGCAGCCAGGCAGGGTATGAGCGCTAGAAAGTGGCATTTCCCGGATCTCTGCTTTAGTTCCTGCGTTGGATTCCTGCCCTGATTTCCCTCAGTGATGGACTGCGTTCTGTAAGGTCACTTAAACCCTGTCCTCTACAAGTTGCTCTTGGTCATGCTGTTTATCAGAGCATGGGAAAGCAAACTAGAGACTGGATCAGGGATACAGATTAGCCATCTCAGGGAGTCAGGTGTCTGGGGAAATGGTTGCCCTTCGTCTTGGAATTAATTCACATCCTCTGTTCTCTTTCTTCTCTCTGGTGTGTTCCTTCTGTCTCCACACCCTGTTGATTTCCTTCCATGCAATAAGAATGTTGTCATCATGGGGGAGAGTGTGGGAGACATCGGAAAACTATTAAACTTATTAGTAGAGAGAGACAGAAAAAAAGGGGAAAAAAAGGAAAAGGAGCCAGTAACAAACTACTATTTAACATCTTGTCTGATGTCTTCAAAATATAGATAATGCTTTAAGGAGGTGGTTGTACAAACCGATGACTTTCTTAGGACAGTACACACTCATCTGTAAAGATATCTGTACCCTGTTGCTCACTAAGCTCAGATAGGAGCTAATTCAAAAGGGTGTGTCCTGGACAAAAGGAAGGCAATTCAAAGGGAACAAAGTTGCCATTAGATAGGAGGAGTAAGCTTTTCACTTGTACAGTGTGCTGACCATAGTTAATAACACTCAATTATGTACTTCAAAGTTGCTGAACGCAGACTTAAAATGTTCTAGCTATAAAAAATGGTAAGCAATTGAGGCTCTGGATACATGATTGTTAGCTTGACATAATAATTCTATACTAGCATATGTCAAAATGTCACATTACCTCGTGAATGCATATAAAAAGATAAAATTAAATGCTTTAAAGTTGTTTGTATAAAGACATTCAAGTAGAACTAGAGTCTAAGATGAAGTTTTATGATGAACAATTGAAAAGTATAAGGTAAGTGGAAGACTGTAGTGAAATACTGCTGGGTTTGGGGGAATACACCTGTAATCCTAGCACTCAGGTGATGGAGGCAGGAAGATGGAGGGTTCAAAGCCAGCTTGGACTATACAGTGAGTCTGAGACCAGTCTTGGCTTCCATACATATTGAGAACGTTTCTCAACAACAACAACAAAGAGAAACCAAACCAAATGAACAAGAACAATCACATCTTTTATGTTATCTTGTATCCCAGGAGCAAGGCAGAAAATGGCAATCAAGGATTAGCTTTTTCCAGGTTAGGTGTGACAAATTACAGATGCGGAATTCTGTGGATGAATAGATCAAATAGAATTTTAAATTTTGTGTGTGTGTGTGTGTATGTGTGTGCGGCTTTTTCCATTCAGAGAATGTGACTATGGATGATGCTTTTTAATGAAATTAATTGTAATGTCTTGATTTAAAAACACATTATCCAAGATCTATATCTAT